TATATACATCTAGGTTTTTGACCCCTTTTTGACAGATGCGGTTTTAGTTCAAGGCCAAGTTGGAGTCTAATCATATAGATTCTGTGCACATACAAGATGGTAGAATATTTGGGGCTGGTAACATGGAAAAGTGAAGTCATGTGTAGTACTTTTCAATAAGGTAAAATAATTCCTTCTTTAAAAATTGAATAGAGGCCCCAAGAGAGGATGATGCATAATGTTGCCTCCCTTCCGATTGTTAATTTGCTGTATATATTTATTTGCTGGTTTTAAGGAAGTGACTAAAAAGTGGTGAGTTTTATTTTGTTTAAATACTGACAGACAGGCAATGGGAGAGCAGCCTACCACAGTTTGTGAAATCAGCTTTAAATGTCTTCTGTATTTTGTCATTTGGAATTTGAGTTCCTTCAATACCCGGGAGTAGGATGCAACACCTTTCCTCTCTTTGTCTGCACTCTTGGCACTCGCAATAAGAAAACCCTTCAGCTCTTTATACAAATGATATTGCCATATTATGCACTCCCCCTGTAAGTGTAGGTGAAAGACATTCACTCTACAAAGCATAAGGCTGAAGAATCCAAACCTTCACCATGTTACAGTATTTTGTTTTTCACTGCAGAAACTTAAAAACAGTGTTATAAAGGTATGACAAGCTGCTGAGATCAGGAAATTAGTGAACCATAATGAAAACACAAATGTAAATACTGATTCACTTCCTCTTGTCACTGTTTCTGTTTCATTGAATGGTGTTACACCTCCAACATTTTAATCAATTTCACCATACTCTCCATATCTGCTAATTACATTTACAAGAATATGGAGAATGTCATGTATATTCCTTTAGAAGTAGCATTTAAAATTTTGAAAGGGCTCCCAAATGTTTTTAAAGCCCATTCCATTTGTAAGCTACAAGATTGTGTAGATGCATTATGTTCGATTTCATATATTCATACATCAAAAAAAAGTTCCAAACAGATGTAGTTAAAATGACATCAGATTGCTAGTAACTCATGGAATGGAGAGACACATTTTTTAAAAATAAACACTTCCTGTTCTCTATCCTTTATCAGCTTGTCCTCCTATCTGTTCAGAGCTTCAAGCAGTGGACAGTTGATTTTGCCGGTAACTTTGTCTTTAACTCATTTTGATTTGTAGTTAAAAAGTTTTTTTTTTCAGGTTTTGGTGCCTATTTTCCAGATTAAGATGTTAGCCAAACATACTGGGATGAAAGCTACTGAATATGAAGAATTCATTTCGACAGCACAGCTAAGGCAACTTAGGCAAAAGAGTGAAATTAATTTCTGTTGACATTCTTTAAGAGAAAAAAAAGTAGCAACAGATACCAGGTAGTTATAAATCTTTTCAGCTTTAATGCCACATAACCTGCTATCCCTGTGAGTGAAGTGCAGGATAGTATTTGTGCTGGTTTCATATGGTTAACAATGATTAACATAGTTCATGCTTGATCACTGGCCGCCTGCTTTTGCAGAGACTTTATCAAGCATTAAGTAATGCTACTTGTGTGTGTGTGCTATCGCCGCCTTCCTGCCATAGGCTGACCTGTATTGAATCTGGCCCTGAAAGGAGCATTCCAATGACTGATTTCCTGTGGATGTTCTGAATGTCTCCTGCAGAACATCCACGACAGAACAGAACCTCCTCCCTCCCCCCCAGATATTAGAAAGTTTCTCTTCCTCATACAGAAAGATCTTTCGGCTTTCATGGACTTAGAAAAACACATCTGGAAAAAAAACATTTGTTTTGAGTCAGTCTTTGGTGGATAGAGTACACAGTGATTAATGCAATATGATGTGGCCCCAGACATAAGTTCAGTCAAAATATAACCTTCTTAATCACTGTATTTCAGATTTTGCAATGGCATTTATAGTCTCTTGAGGAGTAAGGAAATTCTTTTGGAGTACTCTGGTGCTCTTATTTCATTCTGAATGCAGCCAGTGAGATGTTGTCTAATGAGATGGAGCACGTGTCCAGTTTTCTGTGGAATACTGGCTTGAATCTTTGGTCCCATTCAAGCAGGTGTTCATCCAGATCTCTAGCAGGATTCGGTCGCGCCTCGCTATCCTCTCTGCCATGTCAGCTGCTTCGGCAGTGTCCTGGGCTTCACTGGGGCCGAGACCCTTCCTCACACTGGAGACCGTAGAGCTGTTGTGCTCTGAGTCTTCCTCAGACTCTTCTTCATCCTTCCCTCCTTCCTCCGCAACCAGGCTCTTCTGCTGCCGGTGAGCTCTCGGGCCCCCCGGACAGGACACCTGCACTGCCAGGGCGCAGAGAGCACACAGCAGCCCCAGGCACACGCTGGAAATGAACAGCAGTGCAGCTCTTTCAGCATGCTCTGAAGAAAAGAGAGCACTGAGCCATTACTATTGTAAAGGTGTATTTCACAATCTTATCTATATCTACAGCATGTGAACTTGGATCATTTCAAAAACATCTAAAACACTATGCTTATGAAATTCTGGAGAGCAAAGCACAAAGTAGACCAGTTTTATATTACTTTTTTTACTCTTTTAATCCCAACTATCCTGCACAATGTAATCACAATCAAACCATGCCCCTACCTTTTATGTAACCGTATGTCATCAGAGCGTTGCTTACAATAATGTTGCTGTTGTCTGGGTGCCTTGATCCTTTGGGTTTTAGAATTAGCCCTATTTGTCATCAAAACAATAAAAGAAAGTGATGCACAATTTGTTTTTCTTGAAAAGAATGCACAACTCCCACAACTGACAATGATCGTGTTCTAACAATGGAAAAAGTCTGGCATATGCTTCTTTTGATATCTTTTATTCCAATTTTCCAATCCTTGTATTATGATCTTCAGTTTGGTTCCATTTCTCTGACGTATGTGTGCCATATACTTTCGATTAATTCAATGTTTCTATTTTTTCTATCTCATAGAATTGAAAATGCTTTTATACACTTAAGTAGATTCCATATATATTCCATATATATATGTGCTAATATCCAATCTGCCTGATCGCACATTCAGAAACAAGTACAGATACAGTATGACAGTAGATATGAGTACAATCCTTAACTAGATCAAAAAGTTATAGCCCTGGCCAAAGAATGTTTTCCTTTTAAAACTAAAAGGTTACACCTCATCTGAATGTCTGCTCAGTACCATCTAATTTTGATCTGCCCTAACTGCAAAACCTGTTTTGTATTAAGAGTCACATTCATCCTGTTTCAGTGATCAAGATTTAGCTTTACCATGCTGATGACCCCGTAATAAGGACCAAATGGCTGTTTGGTGGTTGGCTGTCTTGAGCTAATCAATACTAAGCATGATTAAAAGTAGTGTTTTGAAATAAGTATGACTAATTCATATCCATAGACCCTGAGAGCACTCTAGTCCATTGTAGGGCACTAATTATTTTTTACCACTATATATATAATGCAGTAATATGTAACCATTTCATTTGTATATTTCACTTCAGTGTTGTTTTTTCTTAGTGTACCAATACTCAGATTACTGTTAGAAGCTTACCTTTTCCATCATTTTTTTTGGGAGCTGAGGTAGGATTCAACACGCTTGGATCAGCTTCTCTAAGCAATATCCAAGGAACTGTCAGAAAAACACAATGCATTTCTGAGCCTGGCACAGATTCAAGATTTTTTTAAAGCAGCAGTTTCTAACATGCTTCTGCTGTTTGATATAGGGTATATTTAGATAGGAATAACCATGGATAGTGGTATGAAAATATTGATGTAAAGCATTTATTCCTTAGATTCAGAGGTCTTTATTCCTTAATTTTTCCTAATTTTATTATTTAAGTTGTGAGTTACCCATACAAAATAATTAATAATTATTAATGCTATACTTTATAGTTGTAGTTTATACTCAGGCAATGCACTTTTGCAAATTTCTCTATGCAGAAGATGTTATCAGAAGAGGTTTTATAAGAGACCAAATGTGAATTTTAGTAAAGACATAAGGAAAAAACATGGCAGAAATTTGAATTAGTTTAATTAGAAATTGAGTGATTACTGTATATGTTCTTTTTGTGGCTTTGCTGTTAAAAATTGTGACACATTATTTACTGCAGCATGTTTTCATTTAAAGTCTAGGTCAAGAATCAAGTCCAATATTGTGCATTATGTTAATTCTTGGGTACTTGGGTACCATCTAGGGGTACCTGTTCCTCGTTGGTTCTGTTTTCATAAACTTTCATTTGTTTTAATAAAACTATAATTTGGAGCAAATACGGTCATGTTGTATTATTATGCTGATATTTAACATGATACTAAAAGCAAGTTATAAATGTTTACTTCAAACTTTGACAGTATTACAATAGGTAGACTATTTTCATCTCTTACAGGAAGATTTACAGGAAGTCTCAATGGTAGTTAAAGTACAATGGCAAATGTATATGCTATTACATCTGACCCACAGAAGGAAAATATTTGCTTTCTGATACAATATGTTAAGTGGTATTTTGTCTTCAGTTTATCAGCTACCCTGAAAGTTCAGTCACACAAACTGCGTAATGTAACTACTTTTTTCCTTACTTACGTATGTGTGTTATGTTAGAATTGTTTAATAAAGTAGTAACCCACATTAAGAATATTGTATATTCTTCCAGAGAAGAACACCCAGGCTTGAGGGAAAGACTGCAAGTACCCAATTCCAGTATTCAAAATCCTCAAAGGTATTCACAATTAACCCTGTAAACTTCTTCAGAATTAGCAGTAGAACCCAAACTAGCAGTCAACAAAATGGAAACTATGTGCAAGTTCACTTAAATCTGAGAGAAGGAGGCACTTCCTTACACTTAGGGTCGTGAGAGTAGGGAACAGGCTATCCAGCCATATGGTTGAAGCTGAAACCCTGGGTTCTTTAAAGAAATGGATGGATGAGGTCCTCAGTTCACTTAGCTTCTAACTACTAAATGAGCCAAATTCCCTCTTCTTGTCTGTAACCTCCCTTCGACGATCTTTTATATAACCAAATAATAACCCACAGTGTATCCCTCACGTAAACACTGTAACTATTCTCTTTCTCTTGTTAAGAAAGGGATATTACTCATACCACAAGCATACACAATGCTGAGATACTTTCTTGTTCCTGGGAAGCATGGGTTCCTGAAGTGTTTGTCGTCAACCAAAATAACGCACTTCTGTTTGGCGTAGCAAATCTTCGACACGAAGTGCACGGCACTGTGGTCTAAACATTCTGCAGAGAATATAAAGGAAGATGTTAACACTTTAAGCAGTAACACGGCCTAAAACTACAACATTTAAAAATTAGACATGAGCTGACAGTGTTACAGTGAAGGACCTTGTTTTCTACATGTTTTCTACTGCAGTAATGTAAACTTTCTTAGACCAAACATTACAGGAGACACCAATTAGTGGCAAAGTGTCTTGCTTTTTGTGATAAATGCCTTCATTCTGCAGTATCCTACTGTTTGCTTTTATGACCTCACCAAAAAGAGGTGAATTTCCTTGTGAAGAGCAGATATTGTCTTCTTCCAGTTGCCTTCCATAGACAGCAGAGTAGATGTTTATCACACGAGGGGATTTGCAGTGGAGTTTCAGTTGCTCATTTTCACATGCGATTTTGGCCTTGTGCTCAGCTGGGAGAAGAAAAAACACAGAGTATGTAAGAATGGCCCATCTATCTTTTTTGGTTTTTCACTTGGTAATTAATCTCAGGATATCCAGTCATTTCCTGAAAGAGGCCAGGGTACTACACATAAAAACATTAATTTCTAAGTTAAAAGATAAATGTCATAGATATAATCTATGTCATAGATATAATCATTATTATTCCTGTTAAAGGTCATGGCAATCACACGTCTATCCTGTAAGCATAGAGTGCAAGGTAGGACTATACCTGGTCTTAAGACCCTGAGTGTACTCAATTTAGAGACAATAATTAACCTATCCAACATGCCATTGAAAGATGGGAAAAAACTCCCAGCAAAATCCCACAGAAACACAGGGTGAACACGCAAACTCTTCACAGAAGGCACCACAGTACAGAATTGAACCTAAAACGTACGTTCACCAGTTTTGAAAGAATCACTTACTTGGTTTGCATTTGTAAGACACCAGAAGATATTTGGGTGTCCCAGGACAAGGGTCACGTCCAAAAACATGGTTGCTGACCAGAAGCTGACAGGCACGATATCCCTGACACTCATCCAGAAGCTTCTAAAGAGTAAGACAGATTGGTTTAAAACACATTTTGCCAAAATAATCCATTTTGACCAGCCATTTTTACTTATAAAAAAAAACAAATAATTTCATGCACCTGTTACCAGAGTACTACTAGAAATTATATTAAGAAAGTAATTTGACCAGCCAGAAAAGAGGAAAAGCAGAGCTGGTCTGTTTGCCTCAGAACCAAAGGCTGGCAGTGGGTACCTGGCAGAAACAGACTGTCAATGTTGTGGCTAAGCACACACTTGGCCAGGGACTTGTTCCGTCAACATTTTGGAATGAAAGTGTTAAAAGACCTGCGCGCACACAAAAATGCTTCGAGTAAGAAGTGGTCTGAATGCTTTTAGGTGCGTTTTCTTTCATACTAATCACGTATGAGATTTGTGCGAGTGAAGTACAGGTGTAGTGGTATTTATTTCAGAAAATGCATAGTTACCTGCAAAGCAGTTAACGATGAGCAGGTTTGGTTACCTGCTCTCTCCAAAGAGTAAGCAGGACTTCGGCAAAGCTCGGGTTCAGAGCGTCCGTATAATGCTGACAGGACCGTGATGGTGGAGTGTCTCGGACATTGGAGATACAGGCTCTCCCCATCGCAGGCGTAAACTGAATGGCTTTTTATAATCCTAGACAAGTAACCTACAACACACGATTCAAACATAAAATATTTCAATAAATGGAGTAATCTCCCACTCTTCGAAAATTGGGAATATGAATTTTACTGTAGGTTTTTACTGTATTTTGTTTCAAATTGTCAATTGTCTTTTTTAATCCATACTGATGGAACTTAGATATGTCAGACATTTCCTAAAAAAAACATCAGTAATCGCTTGTTTCGTTCTTAATACACATTATATTATATTTCATTCTTATATACCCACATTATTTTATCCTGATTCTATTCGAGCCTGGATCAACACGCAAGTCTCTTTCATGCATTCTTCGACCAAAAGTGACAATTCATTCCTATGCCGTAACCTTATGAAAAGTAAGGTTATATGTTAAATATACAGAAAAATAAAGTTTATGTCTTGAAAATAAAATAAGTACGCCAATTTTGCTACAGGGAAAGGAGATCACTTACGAGCGGGGAAAACAAAAAGACTTACCCGAAAAGTCTGCTAAAGCGTGCATTTCTTTGGTCCACACGAGAAAGATGTAATAAACTATATTAAGGAAAGACCCCTTCTGGATCTTAAACGAGCCCCCATCAAAGCCGTACATGATGGTGAATTCTCAGTCCCTGAGATCATATTCAAATTCCAGAGGTTATCAAAGCCTGAAATATCCTGACTCCAGTAAAAAAAATGACTCGGATGCCGAACACCCACGCAGTTCTACTTCTCCATAGACTCAATAGGTCTACTTCAGAAAGTATTGGATTATTCATATCCGATGTGGGTTCACTTTACTGACCGTCCGCATACGGTACCACAAGTCTTGAATGAGTTCACTTTAATATCATACCTCATACTCCAGGGAATTCTTCTCCGCTTGTATTAGTTTAGATACATCATGATCACACCTGGCTACAGCAACCGTTCTCACACTCTTTTACGAGTATCAGCAAGGTGAAAAGGCATAAGACTACCAAAAACCAACAGCGGGAAGAATCAGGTTATCACTCTCCACTAGGCAGTAGAAAGAGGAGTTAAAATCATTGCAGTTAAACGGAGGGAAACGGATACACTCGACGTCGTCCTCGCTTCTATGCTTTAGAATTGTAATTATTTCAATGCAGTACGAGATGCACCTAAAACACTGCGAGATTCGGCACAGTTGAGCTGAAATTCAACATGCGCAACAAGTCAAAGCGCCCGAAACACAGCACGATCTTCTGCTGCGCTGGAGTCAAGCCAGGCAAAGGCAGAAAAGAGAACCGCGTATTTATCACGGTTGTTCTTGCCTGGGTCCGTTATGCTTTAAATAAAAAAAATACACACTCTAATGCGTAGTGCAAATGTAGACGTATTTGACTCTAGCAAAAAAGAAGTCGTAAAACAGCTGGATGAAATCGTCACCGTGGGCGTGGCATTAATTTATCCTCGCTGGGGTGAAGGTTGCTGCTAAAGCTTCTGTTGTGCCCAGGATAGCATTCTTGACTCTCTCTCTACGTCGCTTGACTAACTTCGTTTGCTGTTGTTTTCGTGTGGTAAATATATCCAGTGAAACAGTAAAAAATAACTGTACATGCCAGCTATTTAAATTAATGATCCCGGGTCTCAATGACAATTTGCTACTACCATGTGTTTAAATGGCTGCCAGAGACTCTTTCGTATTCATGGAGCCTAACAGCGTTAATATTCATTCTTCTGTCGCTTCATACTGGTAGAACACACCGTCACTCGTCGGCATGAAATACAGTAATTGTACAGTACTGCAGGCTACATCCGGTATTGCAGCCACTCTCGTTTTGATGCTACTACTGTTGTAACAGTTCTATCCTTAACACTTAATTGTCGTTAGATCTTATACTGTATGTAGGTTCAACTAATATTGGCTCAGTAGATTACGATAATCATTGTCTGATATATGAGAAACTTGAACAGTAGTTATATGACCCTTCAACTCGCAACTGAAGCTAAACTGGTGTGAGCCTGGATGGGAAACCTCTTGGGAAAGCAAAGATTGCTGCTGGAACAAGTGTCAGTGGTGCTAGTAGGGGGCGCTCATCCTGCAGTTTGTGTGGGTCCTAATGCCCCAGTATAGTGATGGGACACTATACTGTAAAAAGGTGCCATCCATCAGATGAGACGTAAAACCGAGGTCCTGACTCTCTGTGGTCAATAAAAATCCTAGGGGATTTCTTGAAAAGAGTAGGGGTGGTACTCCAGTGTCCCGGCCAATTTTCCCATTGACCTTTACCAATCATGGCCTCCTAATAATCCCCATTTACAGTATAGGCTTCATCACTCTGTTCTCCTCCCCACTGATAGCTGGTGTCTTTTGTATGTTTTCATTCAAACATTATATGAAAAATAAATATAATATAACTTAAAAGATATTAACCCATAAAAAGTCATTACACAGCACACTTACTGAAATCCACACAGGTTACCAGAACCTGTAAGTTTATTTTCCCACAATCACCCCAAGCCCCTATAATTACACAATAGTCCTTAATTGTACAAACATTACACCTAATTGCACTTCCCAATAAACCAATACACATTTATTGTCAACTCATTTATTGAGTAGTTTTATTGAATATGGGATAGTGGAATTCTTCTTGTTGCATCTGCATTGAGGATCTCTGAAGCATCTGTCCTAACCCGAACACCTAGTTTAAACAAATTCTTAATATAGCAGTTGAAAAACTCTGCTCAAGTGGTTGCCCACTATCTTAGAAAACATCGTCAAGAATCTGGACAATCTTGGCTTTTGTTGCACAGAAATAAATCCACACTGCATGGCTGTGTGTATACCACAGAACTGAAAAACATGGACAAAAAAGTTTGATTACTGACACCAAAACCATAACCTGCAATGAAAGTAATATTGTTAGAAACATGATCAAAGAAACGAACAATGGAAATTAACGTAGTTTAAGGAGAGTTGCTTGTTGTTGATTATTGATTGTTATAACTAAGTTCAATTGCTTGATTTGAGTCAGTGCTATGCTTTGTTTACCCATAGTGTTGTTTCAATTAATTAAATACATTTTGTAGATAATTGGAACATAACAGATAGTGCAAAGTATAAGAAAATTATGGCAGTCTGTGTGAGAGGGTCCGATGTGTATAGAAAATGAAAAGCGAGAAATTGGCTCCAAAATTAGTTTTGCTGTTTGTATCGTGATTTTCGGGTTTTCCAGCGCGTCCCCATGGTCACATAGAGACCGAGTCCAGCACATGCGCACTAGCAAAACAGGTATTGCCTGTATAAGTAGGAATTGTGCTTCGGACCATTCCGGCTTCTCCGATACGAAAATCCAACATCAAGCAGTGCCTTATCTGTGAAACTGTATAGGAGGGAGATCCCAGAGCTTCATGCAGCCTCTTTACAAGCACAGGGGTTTATCTCTGTATTGTAGAACGTCGACAGGGCGCGTTATGCAGCCATCTGTATTTTATTCAATAATGACAATGCATAATAATCTTCTACAGTCACAATTATTTGTATTTGTCTAAATGCTTTTAGGAAAGAATTGGTCTACTGCTTCTTTTGAAGCCTCCACTGGGAAAAAGCTGCCCAGTAATATTATTAAAATTCTGATCTTTCAAGGAATGTGTGAAATTACCTTGTGTCATGTGCCGCACCTCGAACAACTCTTTTTATTTTATACGTTTTTAGATTATACGTTTAAAAAATTAAAAAATCGGAGAAACCGCTCTCCACGAAAGCACAGTCAGCAGCTCCAGTCGGCTACAAACGCTGAGAGCCTCAAGCATATAGTCACTAGCGATCTAAAATCCGTTCACCAGGGGCATTAATTACATTACATTTATTGCATTACATTTCACAGTATGTGTGAAACAGCAGGATTTATAAGACGCCATGGTTGCAAGGTAGCACAGTGGTTAGCATTGCTGCCTTTCAGAGCTGGCTCCCTGGATTCAATTGCTGGGGTGCTATCTGCGTGTATCTCCCATGCTACACTTGGGTTTCCTCTGGCTGCTTGGTTTCCTCCCACAGTCCAAAAGCCTATTGGTAGTTGTTTGGCTTCTGAGATAATTGGCCCTGGTGCAAATGTCTGCCCTGTGATGCACTGACCAAGGTATACAGTGTCTTGCGTCTGTAGCTTGCCCTTTGTGAAGGAATTGTCAGAAATTTTGTACATACTAGGTAACAGCATTTAAATGTGTCATACTTTATATATTTCACATCAACTTACTCCATGGGATCCTGGAATTGCTATTGTAGAAAATACAGCTGCACCCTGTCTTAGCACTACGTCTAATGGTCAAAAACCGTATACTGACTTCCTGCAAAGAAACTGTATTTTATGTGATTAACCTGGAAAGATTATGCCATAGTAGTTCAGGTGGGTAGCTGCGTCAGCATGCGTAGGCTTCAAAGGAACAAGTAATAGGTTTATTCCATGCTGAAAAAAAGAAGAAAGAGAACACAACGTTTCGGCCGTGGAGCCTTCTTCAGGTGTGAGAGAGACAGGGCAGTAGGCAAAGGTAATGTAGCGGGAGAACAAAGGTTGGGAGGGAGGAGGAGTGAGAGGCGGGAGCAGGGGACAGAAAGAGGGGCCAATCAAGAGGTGTGAAGTCAGAATGGGTGCAGAGGTGTGAAATGAAACTTCCAATGAATGGAGAAAATTTAAAAGAACAGTAGTCTGTCGTGAAGAGAAGGGAGAATGTGTGATCCTAGCTGCAGAATAATTTTGGTTTTTCTGATGTATGAGTTCGGAAAACCGTCTTTGAGAACACAGACGGAGAGATTAGAGTGGTCGTGGCCGTCAGAGGTGAAATGAGAAACAATGGGCTTGGAGAGATCCTTAATTTTCACAGCCCTGACGTGTTCTCAGAGTCTCCTTACTGTTTCTCCAATGTGATGGCAGGGCATTTACTGCAAGAGATACAGTAAATAAGGTTGCTGGAGGTACAAGATGCTGTCTGCTTGATCCGGAATTGTCCTGAGGGGCCTTGAATGAGTGTGGTGGTGGATGTGTACTTGCAGGTGATACAGCGAGCTCTGTCAAAAGGGAAAGTGCCTGGTGTGGATGGTTGTTGAGGGTGGTCAAGGGAGCTGTGAACAAGGAGGTTACGCAGATTAGGTGGTCGGCGATATGAGATGATAGGGCGATCAGAAAAGAGGGCCCCAATGGAGGGATCATCCTGTAGGATGGAAAAGTTGTGGTTAATGGTCCTGAGGATAGGAAATGTGTTAGGGTGGTAAGGAAGCACCAAAGGAATGCAGTTGTTACGGCGGGAGTTCCTGATCGGGTTGATGGTCCGGAGGGTGTTTTTGGCTCGGGCAAGGGCCCTGTAAATCACGCTGCTGGGGTATCCTCTGTTGATGAATCTTTTATTTTATTTTATTTTATTTTTTTGTTGTTGTTGTTTTTTTGCGGAGAGACTGGAGTGCCTGATTTTCTACTTGGGTGAGGTTAGACCTGTGTTTACTGGGTGAGTGCCTTGGGAGCTTGATTAGTGCATTGGTTGATGAAATAATCAACTGGTGGAAAACGGCCAGAGGGGGAGTCCAACAGCTCTGTTTGGGATTAATGTTGTTAATGACATCAATAACCGGGTTGTTATCAGCTGCCTGTGAAGAGGAATCGTCGGCAAAATGTGCTCTGAGACGGATCGTGCGGTAAAAGCGGTTAAGGTCAACATTGGTCTGGGGGATGTCCAGCTTCCTGGGAACTGGTACAAAACTGAGCCCTTTGCTGAGGAGGGATTACGCCATGTATAGGTAGCCGGACTGACGTTGTTGCAATATGAAACGCATCATGTTTATTGTGGAGGGTTTAATTATTGTTCACACGCTAAACCATGCTTTATTCATAAGCTATCATACGTAAACATATTACTAGTAATTAATTTCATGTACATAAGAACATTGTTTGAATTGTTTTTTTCTATTGTAAACAGCATTAAAATATTAATTTAAAAATAAACCCTTAAATCTCACGTAGAAACGTAAAACAAATCTCTTCTCTAGTCTACTGGACTATGTGCTGTTCTATTTCAGAACTTATGTAAACCAGCCTTCACGGTACAGCAGGCAAAAAGAGAGGCATGAAATCTCTTCCTTTCAGACATTGCACCATCTGAGTGACAATGGAAAGTAACAAACTGGAAGAAGCAGAAACAGAGCTGTAAACTCTACACAACTTTCATTTACACAACCTGTGTTGCCGTGGGGACTCTTCATTGAGACGGACCGGTTTCCGGTAGTGTTGACGCACGTGTGTCAGTGTGTTTAGTACTCTTAGTAAAGTAGCGGTGAAAAGTGGTTGAGTACTTCGGGTTACGAGAAATCATGGCGAAAAAACGCAAAAATGAAGATTCAACGGAATCTGATACACAGGAAAAGAAACCCAAAGTATCTGAAGTTGAGTTGAACGGAACTGTATTTAAAAGCATGTTAAAAGAGCCTACCAAAGCAAAGAAAGGTACTGTACGTGTCACTTGTTCATCCCTGTAGCTTAATTAAAATAAAATCCATGAATATCTTGTATTATGAACGAAATAATCCAAAGTAATGTTTTTTCTTATCATCGTACTTCTTTAAAGTGAAATTAGACGTCGGCAGCAGATAGCTCATAATTTTTTTTCCTCACTACTGTCAAGCTGTTTCAGAAGTATCAAACCGGCGTATTTGTGTCGGAATAACAGTCGTTCTTGTTTTTTTTGTCATACAAACCAGTCGTGCATAAGACTTGTCATCTTATTTCATTATTATTAAATAGCAATATACAATACTTTATTTATGGGACATTGTACTACTATCTCTCATGGAAGATTTCTAGGTAATAAACTTGGCTCTGAACATCTTGTTTTTATCTTTAAGCTTCTAACAAGTATACTCATTTGTAAGACCTTGTCTGACTGTCACTTGTGTTCGTCTACAGAGCTTTGGAACGTAGCAGGTAAATCTCAGAAATCCGCTCATGCCTAAGGGATGGTTTATACCTGTTCTATTCTGCAACTGTAGACGTTGCTGTTACAGCTCATTAATGTGTAGGAAATAATCATTTAAAGTTGTGTCTGACACATGATAGTCTTTGTAACCTATTAGCTGTAGAGATTTTTCAATAAATTATAACAATTTTTCCCTCCTCTTATATTACTTGTAGGTTTGGAAACCTTCATATCAGTTGCTAAACAATTGCCCTGCCCTGGATTATATGATGTGGTTGAAGGCTATATAAAAATATCTATGGATTGTGCTGAAATACTGAAATTGCTGGAGGAAGAAAAACGTTTGGAGAGCGAAGTCAGTACCATTGTTTTATTTTAATTACATGCAAAACCTAAGCAGATGGTTGGGTTGTGAATTGGAACTATGTCACTATCATGTTCTTTTGTCTTTGTTTATAATTTTCTGCCTTAGCATGAGTGTTGGTGTAGTAAAATACACCCGCCTTTGAAGTAAAACATAGCAAAGCCCCCTGTTGTTGGAACTTATCTGGCCTGTCGTGCTTTTTCAAATGTCAGTGGCTTGTGATATGAATGCACATCCAGCTTTGTCTTGAGGGATTCTAGACGTGCTTCTTCAACAGCATGAATGTAATGCACACTCACAATTTCTGTTTGTCGTTCAAGGATACTTTATTTAGTTCACATCTTAGCATTATGCAGCCCATTGGGATCACCTTCTAAATGCCTTGCAGGGTTTTGAATATTTGTATCATGGTGTTGTTTCATATTCTTTGTTCAGAATACAAGATTTTCAGTTTCTTGAGCTTGTCAGCACAAGGTATGTTAAGTGACTGCTTCTTGTATGAAGCTCACAGATTAATGTAATGATAGTGTAATGCGATGTGTGTGTATATGTACAGCTAGGGCTATTGATTAAAATTTATTTATTTTGTGTTGTGTGTTATTTGTTTTGGTAGATTTATATAGTGATGCCAAAGACACATTTAAAATTATATAAATATAAATAAGTTAGCTGCTGTATGCTCTTCATGAGACCTGACCTACCCTTTACGCAAGCCTGTTATGAACAGATCACACTCAGGACCTGGGTGTTTTAAGGAATGAGAATAAATGCCTTTGAATTTAGAGCACATTATTGATTACTGTTGCTCATGTGCATTAAGATTTGTTTATTGTTGTTTTTGAAGCAGAATCCCACAGATAACTTCCAGTGGGTGATAAGTATGTCTCAATCTCTTTGCTTCCAGACAGCGTTGATCTTCCAGGGCTTGGAAATGATCCTGCTACGAACAGCCAGCGACCTGTCTCACTTCAGCATGGCTGGCATTGCCATTGTGAAGAAGATAGTCTCCAGCTTTATGAAAATTATTTGTTCTGTGTTGCATTCTGAAAATCACAGGTATGTACTAAGTGTGATAGCTGAGTCATATGATCACTCCAGTCTTAAGTAGTTGAGTCTACGTTAATAGCTTTGCTCAGTTGTTTGATTATATAATTGCGCATAATTATAGTTTTTATCAAAATATATAACTTCCCCCCTAGATAGTCTTCTTCAGTGAGGTAAACATCCCAACTGTTTTACACTGATCTATCATCCTATTAATGTTAAAACTCTACTGACTTACAAAAATGTTAGATAATGCTCCAATAATTGGTCAGTCCACCTCCAACAGTGAGAATTCATTAGCCATTCTGTAGTTTCTTGCAGTCTGAATTTGCTTCCTGTTAGTGTTTTATCTGTCAGCCATTGCTTGTATATCTTAAAATATACACATTAGCCATGTCTGCTGTTGCTTTCATAAATGCACATGTACCAACAGCCATGCCACCTACTTTAGCTTTCTTTCTTCTACCAAAGGACACTGAGGAAAAGTCACAGTCTGCCACTATTTTACAGTTGTCATGATGAGTGAGTTACTCATATGGAACACATCATTCCCTGTAATGTTTTGGTGGTTTAATTCCAGAAAAGACACGGCATCGTTTCTTAAAGAGGTCTGCACTACAGGCATTATTACCTTAGGACTCTTTATTAAGTTGTAAGTCATTAGAGGGACCACAATAATAAAGCCTAACTCCTCATTTCGGATGTTCTCTTCTGCCCCACTCAGGTATGTGCGGCAGTGTCTTAGCCTCCTGTCTGCTATGGTTTCACAAGGGCCAGACTCTGCCAGAGAGGTATTCAGTAACTTCAACTTCGGCAAGAGTCTTTCCGGACTGGCAAGGAGAAGAGACAAACAGGTGAGATCACAGACCTGTCAGCTGCCAGACCTGCTACAAACAGACTCCAGCTGACTCTAAGATTGTCCTTAGAAATAGTCAAAACCCATCTAATTATTAGACTTTAACGAAGAGGAAGTCAATAAGACTGTAAGATGTATAAGTATACAGTCATGTGAAAAAGAAAGTACACCCTCTTTCAATTCAGTGGTTTTACATATCAGGGCATAAGTAACAATCGTCTGGTCCTCACCAACTTCTGTAATTAGACAAATCTAGCCTCAGATAACAGACAACATATAACAGATTTCGCTATGTCATTATTTATTCAACAAAAAGTAAGCCAATATGCAGAAACTATGTGGTCAAAATTAAGAACACCCTTACTGCTCCCATAGGAATTAAGAAGGTAATTAGCAACCAGATGCTGCTAATCAAATGCACTTGAAGGGTTATAAGGCCTTTTCCAAAAAATTTGAAATCCATCCTTCTACAGTGAGAAGGATTATTTACAAATGGAGAACATTCAATACAGTTGCCGATCTTCCCAGGAGTGGGCGTCCCCGCAAATTCACCCCAAGGTCAGACCGCATAATGCTCAGAGAAATCGCAAAGAACCCAAGAGCTACATCTAGGGATTGTACGTTAAATATTAATGACAGTGCGATCAGAAAAAGACTGAACAGGTACAGTATGACTTTCATGGAAGGGTAGCCAGGAAAAGCCCCTTCTCTCCAAAAAGAACGAGGCAGCACGGCTTAGGTTTGCAAAGTTGCATCTGAACAAACCACAAGATTTCTGAAACAATGTGGTGGCGGGACCTTAAGAGAGCTGTGCATAAACGAATGCCCTCAAACATCAATGAACTGAAGCAATGTTGTAAAGAAGAGTGGGCCAAAATTCCTCCAAAACCATGTGAGAGACTGATAAACTCGTACAGAAAACGATTACTTCAAGTTATTGCTGCTAAAGGTGGTTCTACTGAATCCTGGGGTGTACTTACTTTTTCACACATGGCTTCTGCATGTTGGCTTATTTTTTGTTAAATAAATAATGACATAGTGGAATCTGTTATGTGTTGTTTGTCACCTGAGATTAGATTTACCACTTCAGCAAGTAGGTAGCTGCGTCAGCTTGCGTAGGCTACAAAGGGACAAGTAAAGGTTTATTCCATGCTGAAAAGAGAAGAAAAGAAATGCAACATTTTGGCTCTGGGGCCTTCTTCGGGTGTTATTTGTGGATATTTAAGGATATTTGTGCTAAGAAGTAAATAGAGTAGTTAATAAAAGTTGTGTTGCTTAACCCTGGCATTTCTTTTTTATTTGGATTCAGATCAGCGCATAACTATATCGGTAATAAACTGTTTTTGCTCTGCTGATATAAGTGTCCTTTTTCATTAAACCAGGGCAAGCCTGATATTCGCTTGGCTTACATCCAGTTTGCAGTTTCATTTCTAATTTCCGGTGACAACCAGACAATAGGACAAGTTCTTGAGACAAAGGGTAATATTTGTTTTTCTTATATATATATTATTTTTCAGGTTCACATAAGTCATGCTACCAGTAATGTCCACTGATATTTGGTTAAAACTCAGACAGACATCTTTAAATAGACTTTAATATTAAAGACAACCTTATTTTTCTTTGCTCTAGATTTCCTTACTGATATTTTAAGCACGGGGCTGAAGGATGATAGAATTTCTTCTATCAATCTCCTGTTGTCTACACTACAGACTAAAGTAAGTTTTGATGTATTTAAACATTTCAGATTCTTTTTTGTGCATATTTACCGTTCTGTATTTCTAGAATAGATGACTAATATGTGGTGTAAAAACTGTTTGCAGAAAAGCCTGTGATTTTTATTTCAGATAGTTCATTCCAATAGGTATTTTTTCTGACTACACAGGCTTTACGCAATAATATTGTTGTGCTTTCACATTTTTCGTTCATTTCCAATGTAATGGAGGTCTCTGATGAATGGTCAAGGCTTGTGGCAGAAGTCTCAAACTCTGTGCCAGATGTGCGTCATGTCTTCTGTGTTTTTTTCTGTGTGGCGATTAAGCTATTGACATTTTTTTTTTAGACAGACATAGGATTTTTCTTAAGGCTCTTTACACACAGTAAAAGAGGCACAGTAAAAGGAAGTAATGCCTGCTTTTTCTTCTTATCTCTTTTTAGTTCTCATGAAATGATAGAAACTGAATTGTTTAGTGGATTCCCAGTACTACTGGTAACACCTCGGTAATAAGGAAGAGATCTCATGTTTCTATGACTGTGACTCTAGCATCTTATTTTAAGATTACTTTTTGTGTTACTTAGAGTTTGTAATTCCTAAAAAGATTTTGCCAAATTTTATCTGGCACCGTCCAACAGATTGCAAATGACTTGGAGTTTGACTGGAATTTTAAGTCTGAATTCTAGCAAAATAAGTAAAAGAGTAAACATAGTCTTCTTTATACTAATGCTTCCATCCAACTTACAGAGTGCTTACAGAAATGGAGGACTGCTGCTCCTCTATTTTATATCTAAACAGAAAAACAGAGCTTTATAAAACTCTGGCAGAGCTGGGGTTTGAACCCAAGAACCCCTCGACAACAAATACTCTATAAAACTGTGAATGGCCATCCCACTGTTCACTAAATTGAATTGAGGAATTGAAGCAAAACATATTGTACATTCTGAATCAATTTCTCCTGAGGTTTTGTATTTTTGCTTTTCAGGTTGTTCAAAACAAAGCAATAAGTAAGACTCAAAAAGTGCGCTTCTTCAGTTCTGCAGTGCTGGCTCACATTGCCTCCCTGTACAAGTGGAATGGAATAGCAGATGCCATCCCAGAGGAGTCCAAGGTTTGTCCCTGCTGTTGTTTTTCAGTTTTAA